ACCCTAGAGCTAACCCTAAACCTAACCCTTACCTTAAGTTGAATCGGCTTTCCTTCACCGCGCTATTTAAAGCACCCTTCTTTCTCCGCGCTGGCTGTTGTCGCAGCGTTGATGACGTCAGCGACGCGGTTTAGTCGAGCGCGGTTTTGTCGTTAGCCCTTTTGACGGGTCACGGTTAGGCCACTCCAGGTGTTGCCCTGTCAACTCCAGCGCGCATGCTTGGGCTGCCCAGCTGATGTTGGCCTTCTTTTTCTGCTGTTTTTCGCCCTCCTGAGGCTTCAGGAGGGTGAAAAATGGCACTACGGGCCCACGGAAGTCACCGTTCCTGAACTTCCAGGTTGCCCATAAGGCCGTTTTTTGCCCTCCGCAGCCTTCAGGGAAGCCTCCTGAAGCCTCCGGAGGGCCTCTGGGGAGAGCAGAGGAGACTGTTTTCACCCTTCCCAGGCTTCTAGAAAGCCTCTGGAGCCTGGAGAGGACAAAAAAGCATGCCAACAGCGGGAGGGAGGGTTATGTGTGCCTGTGCACGGGGTCCCACGCATAGCATTATGGGTGTGGGCATGTCTGCGTACAACCCCCCTCGCTCCCCCTGATTTTGGCATGCGAGCAAAAAAGGTTAGCCATCACTGATATAAGGTTTGCTGCCTAAGCATGGGGTTGGACTAGAAGATATCCAAGGTCCCTTCCAACTCTGTTATTCTGATTTGCCACATGGTGCTTTTTCCCCACTTCTCTTCTCTGTGCAGAGCCTAGCAGGGGAAGAAGGAACGCTGGCTCCTATGCCTTCCTGCCTCCGTGCTGGGATGGCTGATAAGTTCCGGCAGTTTGATGCCTATCAGTTGGCCAAATACAACACACGCAAGAGCCGGGGCAAGCAACGTCAGAAGCCAAAGGCTAGAAAGGTAAGAGTACTGGGCTTTGAAGTTTTGCTAGACTTTTTAAAGCTGTAAGCGGGCAGGTTCCTTCCTTCTTTCATCTGGATTGCTGGGATGTCATGGAAGGTCCCCACGCATTCTAAGCCATCAATGGCTCTCTCAAAAATTCCACAAGGGATGCGCGCAACAATGTTGATGCCTAGAGAAATCTTGCACTAACTTTGCTAATGTGTGCGGTGGCATGGACAGTCTTTGGGGCCCTATAGATATTGCACTCTTGTTCCAAGAACAGCACTGGCTGCAATTCAGGTTGTTAGTTATTACCCATAAAGCTCTTTGTGGCATGGGTCTAGGTGAAAAGAGTAAGGTTCTACATTTTGGCAACAAAAATGAAATTCACAGGTACAGTATATGTGTTACCTTACTCAATAGTAGCAACTGTGAGAGGGATCTTGGAGTCCTAGTTGGACAACCATTTAAATATGAGCCAGCANTGAGTACCAGTTTGTTAGCTCTCATCCAGTTCTTAACGGCCTCAAGACCCCGGTTCATTACGTCCACCGCTTCAATTATCTATATTTCTGAGCGCTTCATGAGAAAGCAATGACTTATTAATGTGGATTTTTAAAGGACTAAAATGATTAGCATTTTCTTTAGTCTTGGTGGCTGAAATGTATAGAAATGTGAGTAAGAAGTGTCTCTAAGCAGGCGTAATAATGATTTCTATGGAATTTATTTAGGTTCTTTAATTCATGCAAAAACATTCAGGAACAAAGCAAAATGTTAGCTTCCAGCAGATTTCTTTGCAAAATTACCATAGGGCCCAAATATGCTCCACAGGCCTGTTTTAGATATAAAAAGTATTGAAGATTTTGTTTGCAAGATAGCAGAAAGGCACTATGGAGAAATCAGATGTAGATTTGAAAACTTTTTTACCCTGTAGGTGGATTTACTGCCTTAAGGAATTGGAGAGCCAGTTTGGTGTAGTGGTTAAAGTACTGTTCTAGAAAGCAGGAGACCATGAATTCTCTAGTCTCAACCACTGGTGGGATTCAGCCAGTTTGTACCACTTTGGGAGAACTGGTTGTTAACTTTCTGAGCAGTTTGGTGAATTGGTTGTTGGAAGAAATCATTATGGCAGAGAACAGGTTGTTAAATTATTTGAATTGCACCAATGATCTCAACTTAAGTGTGAAAACCACCTGGGTGATCTTGGTCCAGTCACTCTTTCCCAACCCACCTCACAGGGTTGTTACTGAGGAGAAAATAGGAAAATGAAGGAAGCTGTCTTGAGCTGTTTATGAAAAAAAAAGGTGGGAAATACTGAGTGTTGTAAATGCTGTCTTGGTATATGTACTGAAGAGGTTAACCCTTTTCTTTGATTTTGTATCTTAAGTAACATAACTAGAGGCTAGTCTCTCTCTCTCTGTCTCTGTCTCTCTCTCTCTCTCTCCCCTCCCTCCCTCCCTATCCCCTTTCCCCTCCATCTCTTTCTCTCTCCATTTCTATCAGATAATTTTTTGCGGAATTCAGGAGCACTTTCACCAAAGCATTTAGATAAACCCTTGAAAATGAAATACAGCGGATAAGGACTTTTATATCTAGTAACTAAACTGGGATCTATTAAAACACACTGAAAAATCAGGAGAAATATTGACTCATGGATGACCTTTGCTTTCTATGTATCAATGCACAGAAGATGCAAAAAAAAAGGATGAGCTTGAACTATTATTACAGGAAAGCAAATATGTCTTAACATTTACTGAAAATGTGAGCATAAATCAAATACATAATGATAATGTGAAAGAAGCAGACCTCTTCCCTCCTGCAACTCATCTATTTATTGTGTTATGCTTCCTGGGGTACATCTCAAGTATTGTGTGGTCCTTCTGTAATAAGGTTGTGTTTGGATGGATAGGTTCTTGTACAACCAGTCAAAAGTCATTTTGCAAGTGTTCTATCTTTTTCACTTGGTGAGTTATCTGCAAGGTAACAAACAATGAAAGATGTAAAAAGAAAATACAAAATAGTGTTACCCATTGAAAAACTAGTCATTTGGATCCCTATCAAATTCCATGAATTTGGACAGTGTGGCTATATGACTGAAATGCCATATGGGTACATCTCAGGTACTCTTTTCTTAGTAGGGGTGGAATTAGATCATAACATAGTATGCCAATTGCTATTTTTTATAACTGGCATTAGTTTTATTTATCTGTCCTGACAATGGTTGTTACACTCTTTACACTTTATGTTATAGACTTGCCTCCATAACATGATGACATATGGACAGATGCAACTACAGTTTCAACTGGGAAACTGTGAACATCCTAGACCAAGTTAAATCCCAAAACACTAAAGAAATCCTGAAAGCTTAGCATGCAGACAAATCAGTCATCAATAGACACAAGGTGATCAACCACATTTACACACCATTCAAAAGAGACAATAAAAAAACTAAGAAGGAATCAAAGAGAACACATCCTCACCAACAGCCATCTCCCAAATAAGCATGGATTAACACCAGACAAATGAATAAGCATAAAACAATGCTTTAATCAAGGAGAAACCATGAGAAAAAAACCTCATCAACACGGATAGGGAAAGCCTGACATTGAGAACAAACTTCAAATTCACAAACATTGATAATTTTACCTAGTCAAGTAATGAAACATCTTCAAGAAGCTCAGAGAGAACAAACAACTCTACAGATAATCTCAATACCTGGCATAACAATAACATTTAGAATGTAAGTAGAAAGTTCACTGTCATGGTAATAGATGGATGAGCTACATATTACTTTGAAAATATAGTTTTTAATATAGTGTATTTTATATCTTACTGAAAAGTAAGTGTCAGTGTTCCAAATAACATCCAAAATTAAATCAGAGTCCAAGGCAAAGTATACCTCAAAGATCCAATTTATTAAGAGAGTAATGTTGGCACATCTGTGAAAACCCGAATCTGAAAGCTTCCCGGGTTTTCCCACACAGTTGAAAGTTCATGATCTTGCCCCCACACCCACAAGTCCATCACATGGTCCAAACATTCTGGCAGTTCCACCCATCTAGTTCTGGTCAGGTGCNTTGGAAAATACCATGGACAGCCAAGGAAACTATCAAATGGATCATCAAAGAAACCAACAGAGTTCTCACTCAAAGTACAAATAACCAGGCTCAAAATATCCTACTTTGGACACATTATGTGCAATCCTAATTCTCTAGAGAAGCCTGTAATGCTGAGCAAGATGGAAGTAAGAAGAAGAGTATTATCTGTAGCATGGTGGAGGGATGTAGTTATAGTGGCAGTGAGTTTAATATTGGAGAAGGTGAAGGACCAGATTAGTGACAAATCACCATGGAGAACATCTACGTAGTTGGTAGAAGTCAGTAACAACTTAATTACACATTATCAATCAATCAAGATCTTCAAGTCTGAGCAGTATATTTAAGAAACTACTTTTTAAAACATTTATTTGATGTTGAGGTCCCTCAAAAATGGAGATTATGCACCAAATAAAATTTAAATTTTCTTGCCAACAAAAGTGAAGTGTGAACAATTCCACCATATGAATAATATGAGCTTTCTAGCTTTATTCATACTTCCAAGATCTGTTCTACAGAGCTAGGGGAATTATGGTGGACCTTGGGTGCTACAAGCACCAAGACTTGGTTGCGCAATATTGGTATTACATTGTTAAATGTAACATTTTGTATTCCTTTTCACATGTGGCCAAAACACATAAATAGATTAATGGAAAATCCCCATCATTTGTAGACTTCCTTTGTCAATTTTGGTATCATATTCTTCTTTTTTGTTCAAAGGCTCTTTGATTCAGAAATTAATGGAAAATTGGTCATTGTATATAGAAAGGGAATCATTGATGACCTAAGAATTTGGAGATTTAAAGCCTATTTAAAGCCTTGTTTATATGTTGAAAGGAATATAAATCCTACCACATAGCCAGAAGTCCAGGGTTTTCATTAAAAGGAGCAAATTGCCTTAACTGTTTGTCTTCTCTGAAGGAATCATAGTTAAAATATGAAGGTAAACTATCGGATACACTTTAAGCATTACTTATCTTTGAAGTAGATGCCGATGGTCAAGGCTCAAGCCATATGCAATGGAAGGTCACTGGAGTTTGAAAGAAGGGCAGAAGCTCAGCAATTTACCGGTAGGTCTCTCTGGAATCAGTCCCGAAAATAAAGTGGATGTTTATAAGGTACTCTGTTTCCCAGAAAATAAGACCTCCTCAGATAATAAGACCAATCAGGCTTTTGAGTGCATGCACTAAAATAAACCCTCCCGTGAAAATAAAACTTCTGTGAAAAATTTTGCAACACAGCACAGCAGCAGCCATGAGGTGACCACGCTCCCTGCCTCCT